TTTTTATGATCCAAATATATTAAAATTAATCTTCATCGCAGTTTTCAAATGTTTTGCGGAGAAAAAAAATGGATATGTCGCGATGCAACAACTGTCAGGGGTCTTTCCAAGGAAAACAACATCTACAGACTCTCATATCTATTTTTCTTTTCTTTTGACAAGCTAGCCAACATTATACAGTTATATTTGAGCAAGTTTAACAACACAGTTGAGAGTTACAAAAGATTTTTGCATGTTGCAAATGCTTTTAGCTTTTGTTGGTTTGGATTGGGCTGCGGAGGGGGCCCGATGGACTCATTGCTTAGGAGCCAAGGGAAGGATAAATGATTGATGTCAATACACTGAGAAAATACTTTGCTCAGGGGATAAGTGCAGCAAGACCAGAATTTAAGACTGTTTGTGTAAAATATATCATATGGCTTCAGAGAAAATTAAAGTGTGCGTTCATAAAATAATAACAGCAAAACTGCAAAGCAGATTACATGCTATCAATAAGATTAGAAACCCTCTTTAGACCATTGTTTAAGAATTAAAAGTAATTAAGTCTTTGTCAGAAGACATTTCTGCAAATTGTAAAGAAGTAATTCTGTCCTCTCACCAGCTTATTGATTTGTTCTTGTCGAATCACAGGGGTGTAACTTATTCCTGAAATGATAGCTAATAAAGGCAGTTTTGCAATTTAGGGGTTTTGGCAAAGAGGATTCAGGAACTGGCTGACAAACTGCTGTCAGTGGAGAAGTCAGGATGGATGAGGGGAGGGACCTCTTCATAATGCTCATGCTTAAAAACCTGTGGAGCCGTTCCAGATGGATGTTCTCAGGGCATGGTAATGATGTAGGGGCTGATTCCTCCATCTCTAGAGGCCTGCATGTCCACACTGGCCTACAGGAAAAAAAACACACTCACATTTTCTTTGCTTTTCCAACAGCTTTACTAAATCAAAAGGATTTTGAGTTCTGGAAATGACCGATGCAATCGCTTAAATGAAGAGTTCGTTTTAATATTATGGTTTCAAAATGAGTAAATGAAAGACAAACTGCCAACCAACAGATCGGAAGAATATGGTTTACACGGACAGATCAGACAATTAGATTAAGTATTTATGGAAAGATCATCCAGGGGAACCAAACATGGAAAGCAAGAAAGGCTGTGCTTGGCTCTGTGGTGGTGCTGGCTCCCAGCTGAAGCCAGACACCAGCCAGCTTTTGCATTGTAATCATGAGAGCTACAGCACGAAGACTCTAAATAAATGTGACAAAATTTGTTCCTCCAACCCATCTCTCAGTTGGGACTGGAAGTCATTGGGTTGTTTGTTCAAACAATGATCTTTTAGTCATATTGCACAGCATTGGGCAAAAATCAGCAATGTTGGTTTGCTAGCTGGTCAATCCACTATTGGTCAGGTTGGTCTTCACTAATGTGTCTGAACAATTTTGTAGAGACAGCCAACATTAGCCAATGTTTCAAAGGTTTTATTCCACACATCTGCATCACCTACTGAACGTGTAGGTATCAGTCAGGTCGGACAGGTTGTTTTTTCCTGTACACTGGGGAAATTAAAGTACCCTAAACAAAGTATCATAGCTTGCATTTCCAAGACTTCTGTAAGGTCCCTTAGATCTAAGTGGCTAAAATTTTGTTAACAATTTTCTTTTTTTTCTGACTGCAGAGATTTGTCTGTGGAGAGGTATTTATTATTTATACATAACAGAATTCCAGCTGAGGTAGTCAAACCTTCAGTGGATGGTTCATATTGTCCTGCAATTTCATTGTATGTGTACAACCGAAAACCATCCATCAATCCATCTTTTTCCAGTTTCCCAATTCTGGGTCAATTACCCAATGCCAATTGACACAGAATCAGAAGAAAATGATCACAAATTAAGAAAAGCATATGCAATCATAATTGGAGGTACATACAGTGGTAAATTGATGGTAAGTTGTAAGTGCAATTTAAATACCTTTAGGTTATTTCACATTCAGTTAGTTTACTGCAAATTACAATTTGTTTCTTTTTAAATATTCAAAGGTTTAGTCCTAATTAGTGATGATGTCATCATTTCTCCACTGAGAGGACGTAGGATGTTTTTTTCACACTTAACTTACTATTAGTTTAAATTCAGAAACAAATAAGTGCATTAACTTTGTGATAATGTTTCTGTGGAAGCTCAGTTTGGCCTCTGGCCTCGTTTCCATCCACTAATGGAGCAGAAAGATTACTTCTAATCCTGTTTTTAGCTCTATGCAGTGATGTGCATGGGCTTTATCTCTTCACTAACATGGACAAGACTGTTTCCCATAATAGATCAAACACTCCCTACCGGCCCTGTCAAAACTTAATGGACACACATGCTTGCGTGCAAACACACTTGCAAAGCATGGTCTGTAAAATCTTTTATTTTTATATACAAAGGAACTCCTTAATAGCAATTAAATCCTTCAACCAGATCCACCAAAGCAGGGAGTGTGTTTTGGCAAAGGCGCCAGAAAGAAACGCAACTCACTTTCATTCTGTTTCGTGTGCTGAGTGAGCTCAGATCCACTCATGCATGTGTGAAACTCCCTATCACTTCTGCTGTCATCACTCCTCGCAATGCACGGGGTGTCTCTGCCCATACTCCACTGTCAGCAGTTTTTGTTGGGATGTATCCTGCTTGTATTCGGATGATCTAAAATGACCTGCTGTGCTTCCTTTTCTCTCATCGCAATGGTGAAAAACAATAGAGAGTAGATAGATGAGTGAGTTTAAGTCACTTCTCAAAGAAAGACGTTTTTGAGCCAAGTCTTCAAGAGTGACGCCAACAGTCACAAATGACCCTTAAAGTTTCACAAAACGCTTAAAATGAGCGTGTACTCTAATTAACTCAGCGGTATGTAATTTTGTGTGCGATTAAGTTTAACCTCATCACATGCAGAGAATACCATTAAATGCCATTAAGTTAAAGGATTTGCACATTTTTACCCTCTGCAGGTTTAAACAAGGAATACGTGGGACTTTTTTGGTAGCTATTTTAAGAAGACCTTTTATGCATTTCCTTATTTTCTGCCTCATATATATACTAGTACAGCTCTCAAATAACAGGGCCAGCATATAAAATTAATTCCTGCGAGCCACAAGCACCTACTTGAGGCTGCTCAGTTTCATATAGTATAATATATAAATAAAAAGCTGTACAGATAATCTTAAAATGCTGAATTAGACAAAATGTGGCTACTTTGAAAGAGTTTGTTCTGTAGAGCTACAACTTAAATAAAAACCTTGTAGATCTATGTGATAACTTCAGATGTCGACTTGTTTTTTACAGGAGAAACAGTCAAGTTGCAAATGCTCTCCCTAACAGTAATGTATCCAGTGAAGACTCAACTTTCCATTAGATATTTTGTCTTCTTGTCCTTCTCCCAAAAAGCTGTCGGGTTCATGCTTGTGTTGCTACTGACACCGTCTTATATGAAACACAGGTTTTTGGGTCATGCAAAGGTCAGATAGGTCAAGAAAACCTTTTTGTCAGCTTTGCACATTTTGTAAATTTGACTGTAATGGATAATAAGAGCCTCTCAAAGTTGACCTCAAACTAGACATAGACTTGTAACTGGAATGTGTACCAACTGGAACCGCTGACATGTGTGTCTAATTAGACTCATTGGGATTTGTCCTTGAATAGAAGTGAAGTCATTAGAGACGTGAGTCATCTTTTGTCAGGGCTGGGCAGCAATGTTGAGATGTGGCCCCGGTGGTCTTTCCCGTAAGGGTTCTGTCCTTCTCACTTGGTTTGAATTAAATTGCCCACACAGTCGCAGGAAAGGGAGACAGACGTTTGCATCAGCATGAGCTGGTGTGGGAAAAGAAAAGGCAGGGGATGGAAAAGAACACAGAGGAAGAAAAGGGGTTTCATTAGAAAATGGAGGTCAAGCAGAAAGAAATTAATAAAAATACAGAGGAGGGTTGAAGGAGGGCAGGACTGTAATCTCTCTCCTCATCAGTGCTTGTTACAGAGTCATTAACAGGGCTTTCAGATCGTGATGCCGACAACCTCCCTGAAAGATATCCACACACGGATACACACACTTACACATCTGTGTGCATAACTCCAAAGCTAGAGCACCGTAGACAATCTGGTTCCCAAAGATGTTTTATTTGACCCATGCTGCCTAAAATTACATGAAAACATTTCTTATTTGGGATGGAAGTCGCTGCCAAACAGGAGGCGTAGCAAAACAAACAATTTCCCCTCTGCCCACTGAGGAATTGTTGATTCAATTGTCTCTTATTAGACTCCATATGTGTGTATGTCTGCACACATGGCAAGAAATGTTCACACTAGGAAAAACCCTTTACTAAGTGTTGTTGCATAAGTACCTGCATTTCAGTGGTGCACCTGTGCCAAAATATTCTCGTTACGTTTGGTCTCAGCCTACAAATCAACCCGAGACGAATGCCATTTCCCCCCCAAACACTTAAAAAAATGCACAAATTCTAAAATAATCCTCAAATTATTATTTTATCCTAGTTGTTATTGCTTCTGATTGACTTTTATTTACTTAAACCTGCTTATATCAGTTATTTCCATCCTTGAAAACCTGCAGAAAGGTTTGGTGCCTCAAGATAATGTTGCAGAAAAAAATAGCAGAAATTAGAAACACGTGCTCAAGGAAACTGACAGCACATGAGCTGATGCTCTGAAAATGCTGACAGAGTGATGATACACAAGAGTATGACTAACTGACGTGCATAAATATCAAGAGTAAAGGGAAAGAATAAATCAATTTAAGGATGTTTATGGACCCATGTAAGCGATCAGAAATGATTAATAAGACTTGATTTTGGGATAGTTATTGTGGAAACAGTTGTGATAACGATTGTCTTCTAGCTACTGACAAATATTATATGATACGCTGGATCTTTGGGTTCCGCATCTCACGAGGATCAATTTGCATCAAGAATTACTGTCATTTAACAGTCGTTTAACTTTCTCTGTTTTTGTCTCATGTTTGTCCTATAGGTGCGTAGCCAGGGAGTGACAGAGGAGTTAAAATGCCTGAGTTTACTAAATGCTCTGGATAAGGACCAGGACATCCCAGATCAGCTAGCCCAGCTCTTTGGCGAACCCTGCATCAAACTGGCCGAAGGCATCAAAGCTTACATCTCCAAGGTAAGAGATGGAAGGAAAGGAACATTACATTTACCATGCATCAACCAAATGAATAACAATATTATTAAGCAAAACATGTTTAATAAATTGATTTAAAAGATTTAATTGCCTCTCGTATTAGGGCATTGTTTTTAGTTTTAATACAGCCTTCAACATTGTAGGTCTATTAGTTTTCCAGTGCCGATATTATCTTGAAATAATAGCTTCACACACACTGACGTAAAACTGCCTCAGTTTGCATTCTTCCATTAATACAAATCCAAAAAGTGCACTGTGTGCAATACTTAGCTATGTAGCATGTATTTTGGCAGAGTAGTGTTGTCTTAAATCAAAAAAGATTGAATGATAAGTGCAATGTTTGACAGTGACTCAACCTAACTACTGCGTGTATCTCACAATTGCAATTTGTCAAACACCTGAACAAACACAACACTAGTTCTTTTACATTAACCCTCTGCAACCCAATAAACTTCTAATAGAAAATTCCAGATTCACAAGAATTCTGAAAGAAACTGGAAATCTGATTGTCACTTCAAACACCTAAATATATATATAACAAAAACTACTGGAAGCTATCACAAATAGCTTTTTCAAACCATATCTGACCACGTAAGATTTGTGCCTTTGTATGTACATCATCTGAGTTTTTCTTTAATAAAGAGTTTGATTAAATTCTAATATCAAATGAGAGTTAATTGGCTAATTGCCCAAGTCTGACAGTGTTAGATCCACTTCAAATAAAGTTCCAGTCACTGGTGTTAGCAAACACTAGCTAAGACCAGAAGCAATAAACAAACTGTTGCAGAAACCTTTCTGTTGTCAACAGCTGTTATTGTGGTACAGAGTACAGACGGTAAAGACTGCAATGAAAACTGCATGAACCCAAGTAATGCCACAATATGTTAAAAGTTCATATTTAAAAAATATATATACTCTTGAATGCTAGCCAGTTAGCATTAACTTAGCTAACTAGCAAACATCATTGTGATGGCCCTTTTATTCTGAAATTGATTAATACGTCCCTTACTACAGGCTGCGTCCCACTATGCTTCAAACAAGCTGTAGTTCAGCCTCTTCTTAAAAAACAAAACCTGGACCCAACTGTTCTGTCTAATTACAGGCCCATCTCAAAGCTTCCTTTTCTATCTAAAGTTTTGGAGAAAGTGGTCTATCTACAGTTGCAGGCACACCTCGATTCTAATATGATCTCAGAAAAATTTCAATCTGGTTTTAAATCATTACATAGCACTGAGACAGCACTTTTAAGGATTTTTAACGATATTCTCTTAACTATGGATTCTGGCAGCCCTGCTGCCCTTTTACTGTTGGACTTGTCAGCAGCTTTTGACACGGTTGACCACGACATCCTGTTATCACGGCTAGAATCACATGCTGGCCTAAAAGGATCTGCCCTTCAGTGGTTTCGCTCCTACTTGACAGAAAGGTTCTTTTATGTCAATATGGGCCCCCACAACTCCAAATTAGCTCCTCTTAAATACGGCGTTCCTCAAGGCTCTATTTTGGGTCCCGCCCTCTTCGCACTCTATTTGCTGCCATTGGGCTCCATCTTCTCGCGGTACAGCATTTCATTTCATTGCTTTGCGGATGATCTACAGATTTATCTACCTTTAAAATCAGGATCAGATCAACCGCAGCTCTTATTACGCTGCCTTGACGACGTTAAACAGTGGTTATCATTAAATTTTTTACAGCTAAACGAAAACAAAACTGAGGTTGTCATTTTTGGCAATTTCAATCATATCGACAGCACGTTGGGTACCCTCTCCTCGTATTGTAAAACACATGTAAAAAACCTCGGAGTTTACATTGATGGTTCTTTTAAATTGAATAAGCAGGTGAGTGCAGTAGTTCAGTCCTGTTTTTTTCAGCTAAGACAGCTAGCCAGGATAAAGCCATACCTTCCGGCTGACGTCTTCGAGCGTATCATCCACCTTTTTCTTACTTGCAGATTGGACTACTGCAATTCATTGTATTATGGCCTAGATCATGCCACCATCCTTCGCCTTCAGATGGTTCAAAATGCTGCTGCTCGCCTGCTAACCGGTACCAAACGGAGAGAGCATATAACCCCAATTTTAGCCTCTTTACACTGGCTCCCTGTCCCCTACAGGATCCAATTTAAACTCTTACTTTTTGTTTTTAAGTCACTCAACGCCCGAGCCCCCCCCTACTTGTCAGAGCTCCTCTCTGCCTATGCTCCAGGAAAACCCACGAGATCTAGTTCAAAACTATTGTTGTCCATTCCACGGACTAACCTCAAATCTCGTGGTGATAGATCCTTCTCTGTGGCAGGTCCCAGACTTTGGAATAGTCTCCCCTTTAATATTAGATCTGCTCAAACTCTTGAGCAATTTAAATCTTTACTAAAGACACACTTTTACGCTCTGGCTTTTAACACATTATGACCCAAGCATTTTGGATTTATCTGAATTAGTTAGTATTGTTTCAATTCTTCTATTTTATTGTTTCTATTGTTATTATTGTATTACACTGTAGTTTTTAATTTTATTGTTATTGTTAAGCACTTTGTGCAGCATCGGCTGTTGGAAATGTGCTATATAAATAAATCTGACCTTGACCTTGACCTTGACATCACCAACATGACGTGCACACTCTTAATGTGCTTAATATAAGACTAGATATCTTTTTGAATATGCACTCATGTGCTTAAGAAGGGCAAGTACAGAAGTAGAAGGTTTGAGATACACTTAACATGTTATAAAATTGATTTCAAGAATGCTAATTTAGTCAATGGCTATTGTGTATGTCTGGTACTTTGTATAAAAAAACCCAACAACGAACAAAAGTTAGAATGTAGTATTGCTCATTCAAGAAAAAATATTGCAAATATACTTTTTGTAGACTGGATGGTACATTAAATGCATCTTTACCAGCTAATACTCATCCAGTACTTTTCTGAATGATTATCTTTATATCCCATTAAGTTAACTGATGAAATCCAGATTTGAATTTTTAAAGCCCTCAACTAAAAGTTTTTAATGTTGCCACTAATGATGTGAGCCCAGACAACTCCGCTGACCCTGGGTTAAAGACCAGATGGAGCCTGGTTTCAGCATGAAGGAATCTGCACAGTTACAGTGAATTTAGAAACATCTGCAGTGACTGATGCAGAACTGGAACTCTGGCTGGAAGTAATTGGGTGTATTTGTCATTATAATAGAAAAAAAACTTCAGCTCCAAGGGAGAATCACTCAATCATCAGATAACTATATATGTGTATAGGACATGTGAGTTGAATTAAGAGGAATGGACAGTTTGTAAAGATACCATCCAAGGTTTTTGTCTGAAATATACACAATGTCCCACAGCATCTGACAGCAGTCCACTAATATACAGTATGTGTAGTAAATGGCTAAATGGCTTTTACTGAGTGACAAGTTTCAATGGCCTAATAGCTGTATCCAGAACAGATTATTTAAATAAACCAATCGTATGTGTGGCTCTTGTGAAAGCTTTCCGACTCTAAACTTTTTTCATGGTTTAATTGGAACTCATTGGTTGTTCATTGTACTCTCTATTACTGAAAATGGCAGGATGTTTTGCCATTCTTTCAATTTTACTTCATGGTCTTGGCTTTGTGGTCAAGTGTACCCTTTCAACAAAAAAATAAAGAAAGAATACCATATCAGTCATATAAATGTCTTGGAAACCCAGATGTTTATGATGGATTAAGTGAAAGGGAATCATTATTAGTACTAGAAATGAGAGCGCTGTAAGTAAAACACCTAATTTTTCTAAGTTTGTGCTCAACAGTCAGAATCCCTGCATGTTTTTTTTTATAGTTTGGCTTATTTTCTTTGATTCTGTGGCAAATTTATTGATAGTATTAGTAGAGATGAACCTTTGACCCAACAGACTGTCAGGTGTTTATAGAGTCATGCAGTCATCACAACACCAGTCAATAATTGACTGCATCAGGTGTGCCACTGGAGCCTTAATCCATTTATAATCTAACACCGCTGTTTTGCTAGACGTTACCATATGTAACCTCTATCTTACGCAATTCTGTACTTGTCAACACAAGCTTGATTTGAAAAGCTTGATTTGCAAATGTGTTTTTTTTTTTGCATGTGTTTGCCTGCCAAATGTTTGGTTTAAACCTGTTTGGCCTTTATCATTGTAATCTGTAAAACTGCTCTCTTAAAGCACTTGGGCCAGTCAAACAAATGTGGGCAGTGACTTGCAGGCAAGATTCTTCATGCAGGGTTGTTACAAATTCTTGTGTTACTGAAAAAATTGTGGATTTTGTGCAATGCCTGATGGATTTTGTGCAAAGCTTGCATTCTCTGGTCATCATTTCGAAGTTGTAAAATGATGTTCTTTTGTTTGCAGATTGAAGAAAGGTGTGTTGTTTTTTTTCTTTTCCTGGACCCACAGCTCAGGCACTAGAGGGTTTGTTTATAGAACTGATAAAACTTTGTGGGAAGTCTTCATCTCTTTCAACCATATTCAGATTTTAAAATGTGGTCTTCCTTGACATTGACTTATTAGAAGTGATTATACAATTGTAGTTTTATATTTTAACGATGAAAAAAACTCTCAGTTTGTTTGCCTGCAAGCTTCTCCTACATGATCAAGAGTTGAGCAACCAAAGCTGGCACACAAGTTCATTTTAGGCCCCTAAGGGTTCTGTGGAGCAGGGAAATTATTTTACTGCTATTGTTAAATAATAAATATAATCTGCAGCATGGATATTGCATTCAGGGGTTGAACAGTGTGTGTCTTTCAGAAAGGCTAAAAGTCACAGGCTGACAGGAAACAGGCTTGCAGAGAGTTTGCAGAAGCAGGAAGTTATTTTGAGCAGCAGGCTAAGACGAGGCTTTAACAATGTAACAGATAGCTTTAAGAAGGCCTTAAGATGTTTATGATGATGTTAATTTTGTATTTCAGATGCAGTTATAACTATTTTATACACAATGCATATCTGTGCTTATTAAAGAGTTGGAGCTCGGTCAATT